GACAATTTTATCATATCCACCCTTCATGTATAGATTTCTCTCGGTTACGAAGTAGCTCAAGTATTTAGAAGAGGCTTCTTCGATGGATGTACCGATCCACTACAATTATGATGTTAGTTTTGCATTATACTTTGGAGCATTGGGATATCTCACAAGTTCTACCTCGCGAATGGCTTGGGGAGCCCATTTGCGTTCGCTGTTAGTGATCAAAGGATGATTCTCTACGAATTCATGAATGAACTCTTTCACAGAGCGATCAGGAGCATGAGGATGAGTTTCAAAGTAGTGCTCACAGTAGTCAGCAAATTCATCAGCTACTTTCTTCGCCTTGAATTGAGATCCTGCTCTTCCCTCCTTGGTAAAGTACAGAGGTGTACCATCATCATAATAGTACTCGATATCGAGCTTCTTGATCAACTGAACCAATTTGTTCTGCGAAGTTTCATGCATCCATGCAGCACCTGTATATATAGTAAGCACACTTTTGCCGGGGGAAAGGATAAACAACCCACATTGTGTGGTCAAGACCGTAGTCCCAACCACCCACAACGGAAGATATTGTTCTGCCTATTAGGTCAGGTGTATTTACCAATGTCTCGAGCTTTCCCGTTTGGAGATTTGCGACTGGTGTGGATTCGACCACCGATGCGATCTGGTCGTCCTTCCAAGATTGTTACACCAACTCCATGACGTTGTAGGACCGATGCTGCACGTAAACCGGAAATACCGGCACCCACGATGATTACGTGGGCCTTCTTCACGCCATTGCCATAATTGTCGGGACTTTCAAGTCCTGTGGACCAGATCAAAGGTTTTGAGTTCTGGATTGGCAATGGCGCGGTAATTACTTGATATGACCGGTTTATTTCGTTTGGATTTAGAGCGCCAGGATGAGATATGGATAAGGTTGACATATTGATTCAACATCTGCGTATGTTTGGGGACTGGTGGATGTGTTTGGCTATGCTCGACGAGCTGCGTATTATAAATCGACGTCGACGAGTGGACGGTACAAAATAGCAAAAATGCTGGTCGAAGAGAATCTGCGAAAATGTGTCGTAGTTGCACGGTTCTCCGAAACTGTTAACTCAGGTCAATTGCAGATGTATGCCGTATGATTTTAGCAATCAAAGATTCTTGGATGAGAAACTCTGCAGAGTAGTAATTGTGGTTGTTACGTATTAGATGAGAGGAAAAGAAGAAGAGAACAGGAGGGATGAGAGATGTAAAATATAACTTAGTGTATGATCATATGATTGATCCACCTTATTTAAGCTAATGTTCTCAACAACGAAGCCTATCTAGCATGCATTTATGTATGACAAACTCGAAAAGTAGAGGGATGATATCATTCCATGACTGTACTCATACTCAAAGATAAATTAAGACAACTTCATTCCTTTGCAGCGGCGGAGTGTAACTATCAAATGCAGTGTTCGACCACCTGACACCAATGATGATAGCTCAGTGGACGCAGGGCGAGATTACGTGTGGTTCATGCGGTTCTCCCCAGGTCCAGTTATTAAGCAGTATTGAGTTGATTGCTTCTTACATTGATTGGATGATTGCTTTTGCATTGGACGAGAGATTGAAGGACCGACGAGATTGGATCGATTGCGAGTTGGTGGTTGAAGAATGTCTTATCGTTCCTGCAAACCAAGTGTCCTTCTTATCGTATCGGTACATCAGATCCTGTCTTGGTAAGTCTAGGCGGTACAGTGGGAGATGGAAGTTCAGGGTCCTGTTGGTCTTCCCGTCATCTCGTTGCTAAGCTGAAGAAAGAAAGTATAAGCAAGCTGTCCGAATTGATAGGATGTCAATATCCGGATGGTTAGCTTCAATCGAGTTCTCAGGATAGCTAAACAGGCTCGACAGGATAAAAGAGACCAGGAGATAAATGAAGGGGAGATAGCCGAGAGATGAAATATACTCTACCGGTACTCTGTATGTTACCCATGAACTCACCCAATAAGTGGCAAGTGTGTATAGTAAGTAACGATCTCTATATCTCTATGATGGTATTGGCAATAAACTTATTTTTATCTTGATCGACGGGGTAAGGAGCACAAGGATGGATGCCCAGTGAATGGTACCACGACAACAGAGTTCAATGTTGAACGGCAAATCTTGTTAGTTGATCGTTAGTCGAGAGTAAGTGTAGCTTAGCCAGAAGTTAAATATGGATATAATTTAATCAAGCAATCGGTATTTGGTATATGGTATCGTCAGCCCGCTTCCCTCCAATACAAGCTTTTGATAAGGCTCCACCAAACACGGAGCACAATTCAGTCAATCAATTGAGACCTGACTTATTCATCCCAACTCTGGTTGTACCTCCGACATTCAGACTTATTTCAGATAACATCCCACGTTTTGTTTCCAATCCAATGTCAATCCTGACAAGTCGGAGAATTCGAATAAACATATTCACCGGTTACAGATCTTCTGCTTCTGCTTCTCCTTCTCATTCGTTTTACCCCAGACCAGAATCATGGAAGATAATACGCCAACATGGTAATGTATCGTACACTCTTCGGTAAGTCGTGCGTGGAGAGGAATTCGATCATCGATCTTCTTATCGGGCACGAAAAAATTGTTCAACTCCCAACCTTAACCCTAGAGTTTTCATCTCATAATGGTAATGTGGGAATCGCACAGATAAGACATCCAAGTGGAAATTCTTATAACTTTATCTAATTTTCCCAAGGTTTGTTGAAGATACCTACTTTCGTCATCTTACCTAAAGTCTTCTCTCTTCAATCCAAATTTCTTCCTTAGTCTCTATTCTCTTGTTTGTTTCTGCAATTGTTCACCAGTCAATTATTGACTACCCGCAAAGATCAGGTCGCTCTATTGTCGTGGTTTAGCCACGATATAGAAATCGCTATCGGCGATGGACCCAACTCAGATGCACGGTGAAGATTTCCTTCCAGGTACCACAAGACTGGTAGAAGATATCGAGCAATCCAACAATTCCAACCTTCTCAAACATGGGAATATCGTTTTGGAACCACAGCCTACCTCTTCGCCGCTCGATCCACTCAATTGGTCTCGCACAAGAAAATATTGGCATGCTTTTCTGGTTTGTTTTATTACAGGTCTAACGGCTGCTACTGCGAACGATGCGGGCTCGGCGCAAGATGGCATGAATGAGGAATATGGAATCACTTACGACGCAATGAATACTGGGGCTGGAGTTTTGTTTGTAGGAATCGGTTATTGGACTTTGTTGATCTCGCCTGCTGCGTGGTTATACGGAAGAAGGGTTCCCTATATCATTTGTTTGACATTGGGAGTCATTGGCGCTATATGGATGGCTCGCGTGCAATCCACGAGCGACTCGATCTGGAATCAACTTTTTGTGGGAGCATCTGAAGCTTGTGCCGAGGCCAATGTGCAGCTTTCCCTCTCGGATTTGTTCTTTCAACATCAAAGAGGAACGGTTTTAGGTATATACGTTTTGTCGACTAGTATTGGTACCTATTTAGGTCCTATCATTGCTGGATATATCGCTGGGGGACCTCTAGGCTGGCGATGGATTGGTTGGTGGTCCGTTATCATCTCCTCGTGCACAATACTCGTGTGTTACTTTACCCTCGAAGAGACAATGTTTGACCGTCCCGAATCTGCATACGAAGTTCCAATCGATGGTGTTGGGTCCCAAGCCAAGATCGAGGGATCTCTAGTTCGTAACAGCAACGAGAAAGATACAGTTTTAGCCACAACTCCCTCCGACACACCTCCCATTCCACCTTCGACTGCCCCCGCCAAGAAGTCCTTCCGCGAACGCATTCAATTAATTACACCCGCATCTAACCTCAAGGGAACTGGATTCAAACAATACTTTTCTCGTCTCTTCCATACACTCCGTATCTTCACTTTTCCAGCCGTCTGGTACAGTGGTCTGCAATGGGGAGCTCAAGACGCCTGGCTTACCTTCTACCTTACTCTTGAAGAAGATAACTGGACTGAGGCTCCTTGGAACTACACCACTATTAGCTCTGGTCTTATGAATGTTCCTTGTTTGATCGGCGCCATTATTGGTTGTTTCTGGGGAGGTTATCTTTCGGATGTTTTCGTACTTTGGTACTCTAAGAAATATCGTCATGGTGTTCTAGAAGCTGAAGATCGTCTGTGGATGATGTATCCATGTGCTATATTCTCGCCAATGGGAATGTTTATCTTCGGTCTCGGGACGGCATTCGAATGGTCTTGGCCAGCTCCGTACGTCGGGCTTGGATTCATTGGTTTTGGATGGGGTTGCGCGGGAGATTTGTCCATGTCTTACCTCATGGATGCATATCCTGAAATGGTACTCGAGGGCATGGTGGGAGTTAGCGTCATAAACAATACCATCGGATGTATCTTTACGTTTGCAGCGAGTTATTGGTTGGATACCGGAGTTAAGCAGACATTTATTGCGATTGGTGTCTTGGATTTCGTATTCGTTATGTGTACATGGCCAATGATGGTATTTGGAAAGAGCTGTAGACGATGGACTAAAGCTAGATATTTGGAATTTGTGAGAATTAGAGATTCTTTATGATACAACGATTTGGATATGAGGAAAGTTGTAAGGGACATGGTGTGGGGGAGGTACTTTGATGTTATTAATGAGTTTGGGGGGTTCCTTTCATTGCTAAAGGGATTCGGAGATCGAGGGGGCTTAGTAATCTTAGTGTGCACATTCTAGCGATCATATTTTCTATCTACGAAAACCTGGTGTTCTCAAAATTACAAATTGTTATTTACTTCAATTCAATCTACTTCGCTTTGCGCTTCATTCAATTCACAATTGCCAATCTTGCTGATCATTTTTGATTGAATTGATTATGAAAGTATCATGATCATGTAATTGCAACTTTCCTATCTGCAATACTATCCTCACTCAGAGATCACACATGCGACGCAAGAGATCCCTCAAATTCCAGCCCCAAGACACAGAAATCCATAGTTCCATCTTGCTCCACATGGAAGATACTCCACTCCACCACTATCCTCTATCTCGAATGACGCTGTCGCTTTGCAGGTGACGGCGCTTCCTTCGTAGTCTCCCGCGCTCGTTTCCCTGGCTTGTGACTGTAGTCGAAATCGCGAATAGTCCATTCCACCGGTTCGATGTCATGATCAAAGATTATCTTGACATTCCCAACAGGAATATCAATTCCTCTTGGAGCAGGTCTAGAATCCCATCGGAAGAGATTTTGTTTAGCCTTTAGGATCTCAATATATTGATCATTCAACTGGTTGACAACCTTCTGGAAGCAGTGTATGAAAAAGCCATAATCCCGAAATTTGTGCGCCTTTCTGACTCTTCGCAACAATTTCTCTCTTGCAGGATCCTTAACATAGGCTCCAGGGCTTAGAAGTCGATATCCGGGGCGGTATATAGAATTCTTATTCAAGTCTATTTCCAAAGATTCGGCATACTCTTCCAGCAAAGAGAGAGCGTTAGTGATCTTCTCTCGCCAGTGACGTGTCTCGGGCGAACTCTTGTTAAGATCCAACATAAATCCCTGATCCTCATAAATGCGGTCGTGGAATTCTCCTTGACATAACATTCCGCGAAAGACTCTATCCTGCACGTTGAACTCGTTTAATTTGGAAAAACAACGCTTGATTCTCTGGAATTGATCATTTTCAATATCTAATAACAGCTGCATGCGTAAAGATTTGAAAAGTTTAAGATTTCCAACCAACGCTGCTGCTCGTGCTTGTCGTAGAGTGCCCTCAAGCGTATTGTATGACTTTTTGTGTTGATTGGTAGTATCTAAGTTGCCCACATCTATGTCTTGTCTGAATTCAGGCACGCTCTCAAAGGTTTGGGTATATGCCACAAGTTCGTCGCACATTAGGTTGATGGGATCGGCTAATGGCGAAGACCCCTTCATTAAATCAATGTACTTGTCCTTCTCTTTTCCCGATGTGAGAGTCGCTGCAGAGTCCTCGACTATTTGATGAATCTCATCAAGATAAACAGGGAGCGACTCGGGAAACTCCTCTCCACCTTTTTCCTCATCAATATTGGAATGTGCTTCTTTGAACTCTACACTTTGCACATTCCTCAGTAGTTTGAGAGGAGCGAAGATTTCTTCAAAACTCAAATGTCTGGCGAAATCCGCACGAGTTGCCTTTCGGGTCTGTTCCGATGTTTTATCTATGCAAACGATGAAAGATAGCGAGAGGTCTGGACATTGACTGATTGCATGACAGAACTGTGCCAATGCGGCTTCGTCGAATCTGTGAGTGTAATGACCCTCATCTCCACGTACGATGACTTTCCACTTCCGAACATATCGGGCTTGAGGACCCACGAGATGATTGAAAGTTGGTTGTTCATAGAAGAATTCATTCCCCTGGTATTCCCAATCCTGCTCGGTTGGTGCCACGTTAAAGTGTTCAGCATATCGAGTCAATGGTGATACATTCAGAGCAGTTGTGATGGGAAAATAGTCTTGATCATAACTACTCGTGTACTCATAGATTCCACCTAGCTCCTCATTGGAATCGTCCCGATACATCCAATTGGTGCAATCCATGATGAATTCATTGTGCTGGTAAAGTACGTGGACGCCATCGTGATACATCTGCTTGCAAACGCGGAGGATCGCGGGATACAATTCGTACTTGGGTACGTTGACTACTCGCTTCCCGTTCTTGACAGGATCTGCGATCGTGGTGATGGCGGTACCGGTTCCGAGAATGGGATTGGTGAGCAGGTATGAGAAAATCTTGTGGGTGATTTCTCGTGGCATGTTCTGAATGTGGGCGACTGAGTCGCGAGATGGAATCCCGGATATGATAGGACTCTGCGGCGGGATGTCTCCATATGAGGAGGAGCAATTGGAGTGTGGTCTCGCTGCCTGGTTGGTTTCGGTGAGATGCTGGAAAGTTGGAGATTTCATCTTCGCAATTTTTCTGGGGCTCTGCATGATTGGTATTTTTTTTACTCTTTGAGGTGGCTCGTGAAAGTTGTAGGTTGTTTTTGGTTCTTTGCCGATTGGTCCTGATGATTGGTGAGTTTGAGAAGAAATTATTGTCGGAAGAAGATGTTGCTTGGAGGTGGGAGGAAGAAGTCTTAAGTATTTCTGTGAGAAACCACAGGAGATACTAATTGGACTGTCGTACTGTATTGCACCGTAGTAGATAACGGTTTATCTTTTGTATTCTTTGGATTCGAATCGGATTCTAGTTTGGTTTCTTGGTGTACTTATCAAGAGAATGAATGATAAATATCAGAACAAGAAGTCGATTGGAAGCAGGAGGAGAAAGACGTTAAAGTATCATAGGAGCAGTTGCTAAGACGACCAAAAGAACGTATTGCACCGTACTAAGGAGTCAACATGATTAGCGAGGTGTGCTGTTACGACGTAGATATTCAGGAGATGTGTAGAAGTAGCGATCTGTATCCCACCGTACATAGGGGGACTCCCAAGTTTAATATGCAGTGTTACAGTGACCGTTTTGCGATATATACCTACTTGGAAAAGGTACAGTGCTTAGTAATCTGCACTGTCAGGTTTTTGACTTGGTTGTATAGGTTAATGAGAGTGTGAGGCCGTACTAATGTTAAGATCGAGTGTCTTCCGGATCTGTCGCCCAAAGAACATGGATATCTAGGTTGTGGCCGTACTGGTCTGAATAACTTTTTGTCAATTGGTAAAAATTAATTGCGTGTGGGGGTGTAAGTTCGGTGGGGTGGTGTGCAGTGAATAGGAATTTTGAATAGAAATTATCTTCTTGGTGTCGTCTCATGTTGTTAAGATATGTACTGTTTGGTTGAGGGGTTCTTGAGGATGAGGGTGGGTAGAGAGCAATATGGGATGATATCTACTTTGTATCTTAAAATTTGGGCTAGCTTTTGAGAAGTTTTTCTTGAAAAAGAGAAATGAAAGGATAATTTGGCGCTGAGTTTCGAAATTATTTCAAAAATAGTCTCATTAAGTTGTCCGGTAGACGTAGAGCTTCGTGATCATGAGCATGAAATAATATCGCAACTTGAATCGAGAGTCAATTGCCAGTCCTATTATAGATGACATTTTAATCTATTTTCAGAATACAGTCACTTAAGTCTTCAATGGGAATGACAAATGGTTCAAATTTAATGAGGATAGAACTTGAGATTTATTTTTGATTACTGCTATGAACAATCGCTAATGTGTGATACCATTACCTACTCAGAGATCTTATGGGTAGTATCTTTCCCTCACATCATATATCCTCATTTCTCTGGCTTTGTCAATGGTAAGTCTCACTCTCATGTCTGGCTCACTTACACCCCAATTAACAAACCCAAACTCCCTATAGTCAATTTTAATGCCCCTTTCAGTCTTTTCATCTCTGTCGTAGTCAAATAGTCTCTGTCTTGCCTTCCTAATCTCAATCAGTTGTCCATCCATATCATCCACGGCTTTCTTGAACCATTGGACAAAATCATCGTACGCCCGATATTTGTAGGCCTGCTTAAGGTTTTCCAGCAATCTTGCTCTCGGCAGATGATTGTACAATGAAGCGATGTCATACTTGCGAAACTCAATACGCTGTTGGAAAGAAAGTTTTCTGGCGAAAGAATCTGCATATTCTTCTAAAAGTAAAAGTGCCTCTGTACTTCGGTCCCACCAATCATCTCTCAAAGATTCTTGGTGGGCTTCGATGTATTGCTCGTTAGTACTCAATCTCGGATCTGCGCTAACCTCACCTGTCCCGTAATAAGGTCTAGTTAGAGCAGTCTTGAGTTTCCACCCTGCTAGACCAAAAAAGCCTTCAAATCTCTTTTCTGATTTGATAAATTCGTTGAGGTTGAAAGCATGTCGATTGATAGCTTCATATTGCTTCTCTAGCTCGAGCAGTGCCTGATGCCGTGCCCACCTGAAAAAATCTATGTTGCTATATGAATTCGTGGCTTCTCTGCGGCAAAAATCGACGCTTTCCTCGATCTGATGAATATGTTTTGCACGGAACACGTTATTTGGACACCCCCAACGTGGAAGTTTTGCGTTAATATCCGGGGGCAAATCAAGGTCAGCTCTAAATTCTGGATTACATTCGAATGCCTGGGCATATGCCAGCAATCTATCATACTGTAGATGGATGGACTCCGTGGAATTCAATGGCAAAGATCCTTTCATTAAAGCCACATGTTCTTCAAGAGAGTTTACCGTCGAGAGAAAACCTTTGCAGTGGTAATCGTCCCATGATCCGTGATAAAACATGTACTCTGGTATTTCGTCCCCTGTCGCTTCCCTAAATTCAACTACAGCGACATTTCGAAGTAACTTCAACGGGTGCCATGTTCTAAGCGCATTATTGGAATCGATTCGTTCGTTTTTGTTTTTTTCCGTCCCAACGAGCAGAAAAGTAATCTCAAGTCCTGGAATCTCGCACACCGCTCGACAGAATTGTAATAGCGCGTACATGCCATAGGTTTCTAAAGCACAGCGGACAAGGACTTTCCATTTCTTGATGCGGCTGATTTGCTGAAAACGAGATTGTCGAAAAGTCCTTTTAAGCACCCGGGAGCTTATTCCCGTGCATGTGGCATGCGTGAAGTGACTGTCCCCTAGTAATCGAGTTACAGGACTGACGACTAAAGTGTCACTGATAGAGTATACGTCCAGATTATCATGCAAGCATACATGATCTGAAGACCAAACTTCACCAAGCTTGGGACGTGCATTTTCCGATTCCAAACAGTCGACTATAAATTCATTGCCCTCGTAGAGCACCTTGGAACCTTCCTCATATAGCTGCTTGCACACGGAGAGAATGGAAGTGTGAAGGAAGTATCGAGGTATCTCTTCTGAAGTAGGTATATCGGTGCCATTAAGTTTGGTGCACAGTGAAGCTCCAGTGCCGAGTGCATGACTCATAAGGAGATTGTTCATAATTTGATCGCGTATTTCTCGAGGAATTTTGAGAAGAGTAGGCTTTGAGCGTTTTGTGGTTGCAGTGGCTGATGATGTTGGCGTAAACTTAGAAGCTATGCCATGCTGGAGAGAGTATGGAATAGCAACGCGGATGTTGCGAAGATCGGGACGTTTCTTAGACGACCGCTGCATTTTGAGACTTTTATAACTAAAAGCTCTTAATCTCTTGAAGTAGTCTGAAATGAAAAGAAGACCTAATGTTTCGAATTATTGGCTTGATGGAAGAGCTCCGATTGCGGAGTGGCAATTGAAAGTATTAAAAAATCTACTTACACAATATCCAATGTTTTCTTCAAGTTGTGATTGTTCCAGATAGAAATTGTTGGAAAGTTGTAATTGTAGACGAGTTATTGCAAGGAATAGTTGTTGTGTAGAATGGGAAAAAGTTTACAGCAGGAGCGTGAAAGCTTAAATACATCGGCAACTGTCAAGTTAAGCGACCTCAGGACGCTAAACTTGGACTAAGTCGTCGAAAAGCCGTATGAAAACCATAGTCCATGTAATACTATGATAGTCATCCATCAATCGTATAAATGTATGCATAAGAAAAACTTTAAAGCAATCGCAGCGAAAGAATATCGCATCTATCATTAGATAAGTCACCGCGAAATGACGTCATCTATTCTCATCCTTCCCCACTATACACTCAAATTAATAATGTGTTTTCAAAATCTTAAATTTTAATATTTTATCAAAAATATTTAAATATTATATTTTCTGATTTTAATTTATGTTAACTTTATCAAATAGAATTCAATTCAATTAAAAATTTGATTAAATGATAGTGAATAATTAATTACATCATTTATATAAATTTCAGACAATTCAAATTCTTATGGATTGAATTAGGAATTTCGAAGCGAAAGTTTGAAAACAGCTTGGAGATATATTGATGAATCCAGAAATGATTAAAGTTGAATTTTCATTTTGATAAATTGATAAGGCACAAAATTTCGCTTTTTTTTGGAAACGAGTTATTCAATCGGGTGTAATGATTTTCGAACTTGGAGCCCCTGAAGGAATTCCACTACTTTTCAAGTCTTATAATAGTCAGAACATACTTTTTCAATCTATTTTTACACGGGCAGTTCAAATGAACGAGCACCCATTGATCCGCCAGACAATTCCCTTTCTACGTCAAGTTTTTCCAGAAAAAGAGCGTTCTTGTAGAAGGGAACATCAAACTGACCTATATGCATAGAGGCTAGTCAATTAATATAGTATTAAACAGCATCAATAAATGGACACCTGTTTGGATAGATATTCGTGGACAAAGACAACTGCTTCCTGCCCCTTGGAAAGACTGTCGTCCATGAATGGATGCAGTTTTTACGATATTGACGTGTGAATATGGTCTACAAGAATAGATAAATAATAACAGCATCCTCGTTAAAATCAATGTGTCGTCTCTGTACCAAAACACAATTCAAGTCTGATGCATGATAAATTAAAGAAGCCTAGGTACACATATAATAAGTAGCTCATATATTAGATCAAGCTAGAGCCTCATGATGACATTAGTGCACTTTTCTTATTCAACATCTGCACTAAATCCATGATTCTAGCACGGTGATAATGAGTAACTTGTGAAATATTCAAAAGGATCTAAGATAGAGGTTATCGCCGCTACCTCATGTATAGTGACGGTGGGCTTTTGGTAGGACAATTGGACAAATTTGATAATGAAACTTAATCATGGGGCTGAATTGATAAAGCGTGTTTTCCAATAAAGTAAGAGATGTAGGAGATGGTCACTTGAGGTGTCAGCAAATTTGTCTTTGAGCACATACGTTCATGAATGATCTCATTCTGGAACTAATTTTTTTATTCAAGTACCTAGGTACAACTATGAAACGGTATTCTATGCCTTGCCAGATGAGCTTCGATCTCCTACTTGGTCCTGGAAAAGTTGAGATACCAATGTCGCCATCAATGAAACCATTTCTTCCATATTCATGTGACCAGACGTAGATTGAATGAAGACACTAGATAGTAGCTAGTTGAGCAGAAGCCGAATCGATACAATAGATGATAGTACTAGATGATAAACTAACGAAAGCTTTGATAGAATCAGCAATATAATGTCTGTTTGGATGAACATATCAATTTTCGCTATCGCCAAACTACCAAGCATCATCATCACGATTATCGCCAACGCATATAGAATCCTCAAGATCTGTGTCACTTGTCTCACCCTTGGAGATCTCGGCTATATGCTCCTGGTCGTGTTCTGAATTTAACTCCGGCTTCGGCCAAACAATTGCCTCCACCATATCAGAATGAGTGTCCAGATCAGAGCCTCTGTCAGAAACATCCCATTTGAAAAGGTCTGTTCGGCACCATCTTATTTTGACATAGTGCTTTTCCATGCGTCTGATTGCGATTTTGTAATAAAACATAAGTTCCTTCCACATCCTTCTTTCGTATGCCCAGGCTATCTTCTTCATTACCATTCTTGACTCACCCGACACATACGTCAACACAAAATAATTGTTTTTTTCTGCTAAAGAAAGCCTTAGTTTCTCTGACTTTCCCCTTACAAATGAGTATTCGTATTCCTCTAGTACTTCCATAGCCCTTGTTACTCTGGTCCAGTAATCTTGTCGATCAACGGCTCTGGAAGGCCCGATTACAAAAACTCCGGTTGGGCCGCTTTCGCTTTGAAGAAACTCCCGAAATTTAATAGAACAAGCACGAACATTCTGGTATTCAGGCTCTAGGACTTGAAGTAACTCTCCCCGGTACTGCTTGAAACAGAGAATCTCCTCGGCGGTTTCAGTGTGTTCAAGAGAAGGACCTCCGATAGCGTCAATTAGTTCTCCGCAATCGAGGAAACTTTGTTCATCTTCTTGGATGACCAGTCCACCACCGACGGCCTCAGGTGGGCGAATCAAAGTATCATGGACTCGGATGCTGCTTCGAAAGCCCACAAACGATCTGTTGATCACCACAATTTCTGCACGATGGAACAACCAGAAATACTCTCTCAATCTTTCCCCCATAAGATATACACATTCAATAACAGGAGTGGCTCCACTAGTAATCTTGACGTACTCACTGATGAGCTCCAGCGAAGGTAAGTCAGGTACACTCAAGTCTGCAGGCCGTAGCTTTCTTCCGTGATCTCGGTGATAACAGTAGTCCGGAATCATAGGGAGTTCAGAACATTTGATAACAAGTCTCTTGATATTTCGTATCATCTTTAATGGCAATAGATTGTTGACCAAGCCTTTCTCCATAAAAAATGATCCTGCTTCTGTTTGGATTTGACTTGAATGGAAGGTCAAAGGCAGAATTGAGATGCTAAAGGAGATATTCGGGTACGGACATACTGACATACAGAATTCAGCAAAAGCATTTGAGCTGAGAGGATCGTACCAGCAATCCATTTTGAAAGAGTTCAAGAGGACGTTCCAAATCTTTACCTTTTCAATGTTTGGGGTATTGCGAAACAATGGCTTGTCTTGATGCTTTTTGCGCTGACAATTTGTGTACCGGGTCAATGGGCAGAGATTGATGATATAGGGCTCCAGGATTCCATTTTTTTCATCTTCTTCATCTTCCAAACAACGGTCGTCGAAGACACCATCTGTGAAATCCCAATCACCAGGACTATTGCTGCAGTCTATGAAAATAGGGTTTTTGTACAAGATGGAAATGCCTTCCCGGTATGTCTGCTTGCACACATAAAGGATTGCAGTGTCTAGATCGTACTTCTGAGTGCTGCCATAGGTAGTTTCTGACGAGACTGAAGTGGCTTCTCCTAGGACTGGGTTTACCAGGAGGTATGAATAAATCATGTCCCGAACTTCTTGTGGAATGCTGATGAGGGCGCTCTTAAGTTCTTTGATTTCGAGGGGAGACAATGTGTTCCTTGACGTGCGATTCATGATTTGACTCATTGAGGATGTCGATGAAGAGAGAGATGTGTTCATAGTAGTCTCAATCTTTTCGTCTGAATTTGCCGACTTCAAAACTTGTTGTGTAGCCATTGTAATGTTTTCCTTAGACAATGGATGATCCATGACCTATCTCGTCTAGCACTATAGTGTCAGTAAATACTTTGACATAACTGCAGGTACTCTTTCATGTTCAAATTTGAATCTTAAACGAATGCAACTTACATGTGTCAGTGGGAAAGACAGGACTTTGGTTGAGAAAGAACTTCTCGACCCTTAATGAACACCTAAAACCTGTAATGAAGAAATTACGAAGTAAACTTTATCCAGATTTTGTGATTGAAAATTTTCGGGGCGTGATATTTCAAAATATCTTCAGTTTGAAATGGAGTGAAAACATGAAAAAGAGGTTCTTTGAGGTTGGTAAGTTTCAAAAGAAGAGACCAACTTATAACTTTACAAAAGACGTCAGGAACGAGCCTCGGAATAATAGTCAGCCACAATTGAGAGCCGACTGTTACTACTGGATATTGATAATCATAATTTGCTAAAAGATGAAATCATAGTTAATACATTCACTTATAAACCAATTCCATCCCTAAGCCTTTTAAGCCGAAGTCCCGAGTCCGAAAGCCGAAAGTTTTGAGAGTTTCAAGCAGTTCAAGGCAGAGATTTATTAACAGTGGGAGCATTGAAACTAATTTTTGACAATCTTTGTTAGTATTCGGATAGTCTAGACTTCTGTACTTGTTTTCAAGTTTGTGTTGCATCCTTAAATCACACCTTTTTATCTTGGAATATTTCTCTATTCACATAGAAGAGATCTTGACAGCACAATATATTTGAAATAAACTCTACTTTTTGAAACTTAATTGTGCCTTTATCCCACGACAAAGCACACAATTAGCCCTGAATTTTGGTTTCCAACTCAATAGCAAACATCATTCAATTCAGTCAGAAGAATCTTTTGGAAGACTCAGCTTGTGTTGGTGCTTGTTGAAGATTTTTACAACACTGCCAGTATTACACTTGTCATAGTAATCAGCACAAGTATAAGTTTCTTGAAACCAACATTCCAAAATACTACAGTTTCTTGACCACTTATCAAAATGGATAGAATAGAGGCCATTAACCAGGCAGCTTCTACTTCCATCACTATTATACCACCAAGTTTACTCAATATACCTACAGAAATTCGGAGAAATATATTCAAACATCTATTGTTGAATACTGAGTTAGCGGAGGCGTCTTCTATCGACGAAGATCAGAGATATGGAGCTGATTTGAACTACGACTTGAGCCCACAAGTACTCCTCGTCTGCCGCCTTTTCCATGAGGAAGGCAAGGAGATTTTGTATGGTTTGAACCATTTCATTGTGGAGTCACTACCGAACATACACCCTCATGAAGTTAATACAATTCATCCCTTTACCTTATGCAGTCCCTTGACTCGCTGGGACAACCAACCTACCACGCATCTCCCGACCAACTCCACACAAAAGACTTCATTGCACAGAAATCGAGGTATTAGATTGGTACGAAAGTGGAGAATAGTTCTAAGCGCCAGGCTTCATCAGCCTCGAAGTCAAGATGGACTCGTTGAACTGTGCCGTCTACTGTGCGAGCTACAGATACTTTCAGGAGGGACATTATTGAGAGAGTTAGACATATGCATCATTCCCAAAGGTGCTGAATTCAATTACGGCTATTTAGGTAAGACTCATTTCTATATTTCTTTTTTTTCAAGTTGCCGGGTTTTACAATTACTAATACGGTATTGGCTATACAGACGCGGCCGACATGCGCGAAAATCTTCTGCCACTAGAGCTGCTACGAAACATACCTAGAGTGTCAATTCGAACAGCCAGTATCTCTGAGATACCAGACTTTGTATGCAGGGATGACTGGTCGAAAACGCCACTCGTGACAAAGTCAATGCTACCTGCCGCACCCTATCGACACCTCCTCATCGATCTTATCCAAGGAAATTCAGAAGTCGAATTGAGCACTAAAATGTTCACTGCTCTCTTGAAGTACGCGCAAGCGTTTGAAAGGCATTTTGAGTACAGACAAGCGATGTCCTTGAGTTTTGAAGAGGTGGCTTCTTCAATAACCAGGGAGTTCACTGCATTAAGCCATAATCCGTTCCTCAGCCAAGAGTTTCATCCCAAAGCGCTAGCTCATACTGTCGAGGCTGGTCTGCAAAAAGCGAGATATATGACCGAGAAAGAAAGTGGAGATATTACTAAGACCACCAAGTTCAAGGAAGAGCGATCTGTCATCCTGAAGTACCTAGAACGCCAGTTCTGCAGGATAAGTCACGCATCCCAAGAAATAGTCGACTTTGTCAAATTACAAAAGCGAAAGTGGGGCATCTTTGATCCTGCTTGTACCAAAGAATATAACGGTTTTGACATGGTCATCTACACTGAGGCTATGGTCCTAATCGAAAACTATGTCGCATCATTTACTCGAGAGCTCGACGCGTCAACTAAAATGGCGGTGCGCGTCCAATTTGGTCTTTTTGAGCATCGCTACGCGTCTATGTCAAGAGAGTTTGGTCTTAAAAAATGTCTTGTAGCTTATAGTAGGAGCGATCCTATTGCATTCAGAGCGTACTTCCAGGAAGTAGTGGTGGATGCGGATTTTCAGTATTTTACGATACTCACGGCTAGATCCAAGCTGTATGACTGGGACGCTTGTAGCAATGTTCCTGATATTAAGGTCACACAATTAGGTTCGTTAGAAGCTTGGGAGATTAGATGGCACATAGAGGAACCAACAATCACGGCGATAACGGAATCAGAAGCCCAGAAGATGCAAGATGATCTTCGGCGCCAAATTGTTCAAACAAAATTCCTTGCACAACAAGAAGCAGGATACCAAGCTCCCCAGGGTTCGCATACCGTCGATGGTGATGGAACTAATGGCCAAGATGCGAACATAGAGAACAATGCCGGGGAGAATCATCTTGCTGAAATGGAGCTCGACGACCTCGCAAATTGGGAATCTCTGCCATATCACGATGATGACGAATTCTATGAGTTGACTTTCCAATGGGAAGGCAATCAGTCTCGAGCACCTAATGTCAACCCTATCAGTTCTGATAGTGCTTCGGAGAATGATTTCTACGAGAAACTGTTTAGAGATCACCCGGACGATGAGAGCTTCGGTTTGGAATCCGAAGACGAGGACATTCATAAAGAGGACTGTGTCAACAGTGGTGGAGTCGTTTTTCACGTCCTACCTTGGCTTGCTAACTGTGAAAGCTCTCTATCACATGTGTTCCCGTGGATGACACGCTCGCAGCAATGATCACCAACTCTCATCGAGAATGTTTAATCCGACTGGAACTGCTTGAATTCATACTTCTGAAGTCGTATGAAATGAGACATGGCAGTAGCAGTGTTTCAATCCATTGATGCTCAGTTGGTTTAGCTCTTTGCTGTTATTAGTCGATGAATTAGGACTCTCTGTGCTGACGTATGGATACTGCCACAGACTGATTTGTGTTGGATCGAAATTCGGGTTACAGACTTGACGATTAGATAGGCTTCAAGAGAGCTTGTTAATGGTTGGTATTTCTAATATTCGAAAGCTCTTAAGATATTAGGAGGTTAGTTTAGGGTACGGAAAATATGAGAACGCAAGATTATCTCTGCCAGAAATTTTGTCACCTAGATTGAAATAACAACACACTTCAAAGCATTCTGTCTATAAACTTGTTGGTGACAACTGATATACATGCTCGATTAATAAAAACCTCATTGTCACTTTGTAGACCTTCAATTCTTTTAAAATTTTATGTAGTGGTGAGCTTCGATAAACAAGGGCTTGTAAACTTGATACGTTGAAAAATATTTTAGGTTTGCTAGAACCGAGGGCTCACTTATGTAATCACAATTCGGAAAATTCATGTGTCAAATTGGTGGAATAAGCTAGCATTTCATTATTTGATGACTACTAACTAGGTATATAAGAGGAAGCAAACAATGACTAATATGACCAACTTCTTTTTTCTCCATCATCCTTCAGACATTTCAAAGATCCGACAAGGAAAGAAAATGGAAGATAAAAGTTATAACTCCGCCCCTAAATTTGCTATCTTCCACAAGATATGACTGGCACATAAGGAGATACTTATGCTGCAACTAAAGCAGAATAGAGGTAGAAATGCTCAAACGAATTTCCGACCATCATCTGCGGAAAAAAAATAGAAGACGCCTCTAGATAATATCAGCCCCAAAACCATTGTGATATCTAAATAATATTGAAAAAATCAGTGATAGAGCTTTCAATATCACATAAAACAATATTTTAGAGAAACTCAAATATTGTTACTATACGGACTCTTATATGGCTGAGGGAGCTCTAGCTTCCAAAGGTTCCTGACATCCATATCCGGTTCGACTTTATCCCACTCGTTGCTTTCATCCCAGCTCAGTGGCTCCACGTCAATCTCGGCGGTATGACCTGGCCCCTTCAAATCCCATTCGAAGAGCCGCTTTTTCGCGTTGCGGATGGCAAGGTATTGAGTATCCATGTCATTGACAGCACACTCGAAGTTTACCACGAATCCTTTCACGTCTCCACCCCTATAAGCATTTGTAAATTCCCTAATTGCAACCTCTCGGGGAAGCAGTTCGAATCTCTTCTCATATCGACCATTCAATCTGCAAATAGCAAGCTTGGTTGCTGTTGTTAGGTCTCTATTAAAAGATTCCGCATAGCATTTTAACAAAACAAGTCCCTCGCTTTGCACTCCAGGAGACAATCCAAAGGCCGGTGATTGAGCAGGATCGAGCAGACCCCCACTTACTTTTTGGTCTTTGACAAATCTAACCAAATCATTGGCGGCTTGTTGAATCTTTCGATATTGTCTCTCAAGAAATCTTATGGCATTTGACCGAAGAATTCTGAATTCGGAAATATCCTGTACTCCTACTTCCTTGTTCGTTTGCATACGTAAAGCCTTTAGCAAAGCCGATTCTACAGGATGAGTCCCACAAAAAGGATTTTCCGCCAAGTATGGACTGCGATACAGCTGCAGATGGTCGACGGCCATCTGGTTTCGGAACTCATATATTCGTTCAAAAGCCTGGGCGTAATTGAGAAAAGCGTAGTACATTTTGTGGAATAGTTCGACTTCAGAGTCACCTTGGACTAATGCAATCAAGTTGGCTAAGTACATCGTCTCCGGTAATAACACCCTTCCACAGGGTGTGGTTTCACGCCACTCGACTCCTAGGGACCAGCTGTAAAAGTCGTAATTCCGTCGATCTCCTTCAAAGAGAAAGTCGGGCACTTCCTCTGGATCTGCTCCACGAATGACAACTCTTCCAACACATCGAAGAATCTCCAAGGGCGAAAGAACGTCCTGTAATCTCTCAGCCGTTACCCTATTGACTTCAGCACTCTCTCTGGGGCCTCCTTCCAATAAGCTTGGATGCTCCAGAATATCCCAAGGCCCAATCGCAATTTCCATGGACTTTATTCCATTTTGGCAAATAGAGCGACAAAGATTTGCAACATTATTGCGCGCGCTAGAACGCATGGGAGCTATCAATATTTTCCAATGTTTGATGCGCTTTACACCTGGCACAGTTCTCAAATGATTTGTAGCTAGTTTGTCCGATGGATAAAAGCACTCAGCGCTCGGAATCTCGCAAAACCTGGTCAAGGCACAGCGGTGAAGCAGATGGTCCTGATTTGACAGAACACATTCTATGAAGAATCGATTTTTTTCATAAAGTATCTCCACTCCTATCGCGTGAAATTCCTTGCAGACGCGTAGAATTGAGGGCTGGAGTTCGTACTTGATTTTGGAACCCCATCCTTCATCCCTGTGAACGCACGAGGCTGTGCCTAGCTCTGGATTAAGCAAAAGATATTTCAATATTTCTCCGAGTATTTCAAGTGGCATGCGTCCCAACGTTGAGGTTGATGCTGCTGCAAGTGGTGCCTTTCTCTTGCGGATGACGGCTTGTGGCGCATTTTTTTCTGAGGATTGGCCATTGTCTCGATCGATTCTCTGCGATTGCTTTTGGAGCACCTTTCTGGTACTGCGTTTTTCGATTCGACTCATTGTGAAGGACTAGTCCAGTTGTCAGTCAGGTAAAACGCATTCACGATAAACCTCGCATCTCAAATAATAGTTGAAAACAACTATTCAAGATACCTATAAGATTTGAAAGGAATAGGGCAGCAATACTTACGGAGTCTGATCTCGAAGTTCACTCAGAAGGTGTCGACTGGATTGGAGGCAAGTTAAAGAAGAGATCCGTTGGATGAGTATTTTTTGGTCGCAGAAGACGAAGCGAAGAGTAAGGACTCCCGAGGTCTATTTGAATTGTCCTAAACAATGAAACTACGCTAGTGAGAGTCTTCCGTATCAGATGGCGGCAGAATGGCCCGAAAATTCACTTTACTTCACTTCACTTCACAAAAACACAATTCAAACTAATCCATCTGATATCACGTGATCTTTCTATCACTTGGGGCAATTCACATGATTTTAATATGCGTGTGCGATGAACACAGCCCCTAAAACTCGGAGAAACCAGCTTAGAAGCGACAGGGCGCGTTACATGTGCTTCCTCTTCTATGTGCGAATCTTGATAGCTATTTGTTGTAAAAATTGTTACGCTCCACCGAAAACGCGACGATTAGATTAAAGAGTGGGATTCGGCTCTATAACTTTGTTACTATTACTTGAATTGTGTATATCAAGAACTGATAGTGTTGTGTATCAGCGACATTTGAGATCTTAGTAACATATGTTGAAATTGCTGCGCAAGTGAGAACCTTGAGTTTGACAGAAGCCAGGCTTCTGACAGTGTTTCATGTTAATAGATTCTTACTTTTAGGCTCACTGTAAAGTCACTCACGAAAGAAGATTGTGGTTATTGTGAAACTGATAAATTTTGTTTTAGTGGTCACCTATTCATCTCAAGTGCCGAGTTAAATATAGTCAACAGCGAGGCCAAAAACACTACACAAGCTTTGTCGGTGGACATCAATATTCTATGACATCCCACTTCATTCCTGCTTAGAAAACTCTTGACAAACTTCTCCATCAGCTGACTATCTCACAAGCTTTTCAGGTTCCTCGGAATCTGGCCCGTTCCGTGGAAGGAGCCCTCTACTCCATAGAACCCCATCCGCCGTCGCCACGGTCGCTCTCGTGACCATTTTCGTGTTCCAGAGACTCATTGTGCGCATAAGAGCGGTATTCAATCCACTCTTCATTGACCCTCATGTCTGGCTCATATGTCTCCCAATTGATCATCTCATCAAGAACCATTGGCATAAAAGCTGTTTCGCGGACAGTTGACTGCAAGTCCCACGCATAGAGCTTCTTCCGTGCCTCTCTGATTGCAAGATACTGGGTATCCATATCATTAACAGCCTTTCTGTAATTATTCACAAAGTGATTCCACCATTGCTTTTCATACGCCATCTCACAGTGCCTCAACAACTGTTCTCGTGGAAGAGCATCATATCGGGATTGTAATAGAAGCTTTTGCATACGGATAGCAAGTCTTGTTTTTCGTTCCAGTCTTCGTGCAAAGCTCGACGCATAATCCTCAAGCAAGACCATGGCTTCATTAGCGATAGCCACGCAATGAGAACGACTATATTTTCCGGGCTCAAAGAATCCCTCGGTTTTCTTTTCATTTTTGATAAAATCAACCAAGTCTTTTGAGGCCGCTTCAATAGCCTTGTATTGAGGCTCCAAGTACCGAATTAACGTTGAACGGTGAAGTTTGAATACTTCCGTGTTGTCCTCCTTGGTGGCGATCTTGGCTGCGTGCAATGTGCTCTCCACAGGATGCGCGCTGGATATGAAAGGATTGCTCAACGTATAAACGCCAATGCTCGTCTCAAATATATCAAAGCTACTGCTTTCGACTCCTAATGTGTGGTAGATAGGTTGTTCGGTCATCCGGTCTAGATTTTCCAAATTCAGCTTTCCCATATCCAGCTTGAACTCTTCAATGCGTTCGAAGTTTCGTACGTAAGCAAGAAGATTCTTGTACATCTCTTCGATAATCTCGACATCTGAGTTACCTTCAATCAGAGTTACCAATCTCACTTCATCAACCGGATCGGGCAAGATAGGCGTAAACGCATCCGCGAGCTCCTCCTCGTCATTCAATGAATTTCTAGGAATTTCGTCAAACTCGGCAGCACGGATGGTGATTCGCTGGATATTTCGTAGTCGCTCCAGCGGTTTCAAAGTAAGAGCCAGCTGACTTTGATCTCCATAAATGTCGTTGGACTCCCAGCCACTTTCGACACCTCGGGGAATGATCAAAACTTCGATCGACTGTATATCCGCCATGTAGATATTGCGGCAAATCGATGCAAGACCATTCCATGCATATGACCTGTGCACTGTGGCACTCAGAACAATCTTCCAATGTTGGACGTATTTTGCTGCTGGAATGATGTCGTCATCTACTTCTACAGCTGTGTTGATACGACCAATCTGTTGGTACCTGGTCAAAGCACAGCGAGCGAAAATATCAGTGTCAAAAAAAATAGGGTGATGCGGGACACACTGGACCAGAAATCTGTTGCGTCCGTAGAGAATATCCATCCCCTCATTATATGTCTGTTTATTGACTCTCAGAATTGCCGGGGAAAGTTCGAATACGACACTATTATCTTCGTTTGTCGCAAAGCTTTCACCGAGAAGAGGGTTGTAAAGTAGGCATTCCCAGATTTGCTTCCGGCACTCTATAGGAATCAATTCGAGTAAAGGACAACCGTCGACAGGTACTGCTGGATCACCAATTGCTGTCGGAAGATGAGCCTGAATTAAATTGTGGACCTCCATCAGGTGATCTCCTGTGAACATCTGAGAAAGCTGGATACTCAAAGCTGCCGGGATACCGCACAGTGTTGAAGCAGGTGGGTGAGCCGTGACCTGTGTAGTCACAAAATTGCTGTCCGTTTCAATATCTTGAGAGACTTCAGATTGAAGAGACTCCTGTTGGTCGCTCATCATGGGTTCGCCGGTTGTCTCTTGGTCAGGGATTGTGGTGTTAATGCTGCATTCTGGACTTTCAGTGGCTTCGAAACTCATTTTGGAAACTAGAAATTTCAAGAAATAAGCAGATGTTTAACGTAGGAAGGTGAATGTGTGAATGGTTTCGAGCTGAGGTTGAGATGGTGATCGATTGCCAAGATCACTAGGTCCTTGCTAACCTTGCCACTATACTCGTGGTGGTGAAATAAACGGAATCAGGTTGTATAATCCAAGACTTACTGGTTTAAAAATTGATGAAAATATGACAAATGCTTTAGTGAAAAGATGATCTCTTATTAAGATACAGAGTTTTGTACAGGAAACTAGACGTGGATCTAACAAGGATGTTGATGTGAAAATACGGAGTTTCTGGAAGTCTAAGTAGAAAGTTGTACTGTTTAGTGGAATAACAAAATTATTTCTAATTATGAAGAAAGACAATTGAAGAATTTGGTTATCGGGTTGTAGGATCCAGAGTGCTTATAAGTGCTAGAGATGCTCACAACGAAGTGCTAGTGCTTCGCTTAACAATTAGCGCAAAGCTGATACAGCAAGTCTTCCAAGGTTAGCTACCGTACCAGCTCCTTCACCTCGATTCATTGATGGGGAAGATTGAACTTAGGGTCAGTGAATTGTAAATATTCTGTTTAAATATCTATTATATATAACAATTCCGCCCATTAACAATGTGAATAAAGCCCTTTGAAGCTCCGCAGACACTTTGGGCCATACGCATTCATGCTTAAATTACCATTGCTTGATGGCTATTACAGCTGCAGAATTCATCATGATCCTTTTCAGGATGGAGTTTCGGTTCTAATTAATCTCAAAAATTTGAACCTCGTGGCCTTTGACATACATCTAGAACAATCTTTGATCGGTGAATGCGTCGAGATAGATCGATGTAGATACACTATCAAGGCCGGGCTAAATTCTTTTCATACATTTAATTCAGTGATATCGTATAGAGAGATGACGATATCAAGGGTGTTGGAAGAATAGTTTAGTCAAATGCAGTTTATGAACATGTGTGCGGGTGAGGAATTTCATCTTCGTTACTCTCAGAATCAAATAATTCCTAAGTCCGCAATCATTCATTTTCTCGATTGATATGATAAAAAATATACGAATTATTGCGCACCAACATATGAAGGTGTTTAACCTCTTTGACCGGGCTCCCGGGGCCTGCTCATTCTCTCACGGACTTTGGATCCATCAACTGACTACACGCCGAGACCTTCAAATCCGAATCATTTTCTCCAATTATGTAGTCTGATTGAAAAATCCTCTCTCTTACATTCAGAAAACCTAGTCCTATCTTTTTCCTACAGACCCTTAAGATGTGCATCATATGTTGGTCTCTACTACCAGCAGGAATTCCATAGAGTTTTCGCAGATAAGAAATGCTAGTATTCCTTTGCAAAGAAGGAGACTAATCAGTCTACATATCATCGCAAGTTCGATGAACAAACGAATATGATGGGAAGTACCTATCTCAGGCAAGTGCCACGGCATCATCTCTCAGACGTAGCAAATCCATAGGGTAAAATATCTTAAACCAAGAAATTTTGGTTGTTGACGAATCATATCAAAATGCACTCTTGGTAATTGATTTTATATTCAGAATTTGAGAAACCAATAATAACTTTCTGTTACTTGATATGCTCTAGAGAGTCACAGGGTGTTCATTAGTCCGGACGTCACGATTCTGTCTTCAATTTCACGAAGAATTGGACGGAAGGAAGGAATGATAAGCTGTTGACATCTTTCTCATTGATAATTGAATGGAACCCGTGTGATATAATATGCATCCAGAGACTCTTAAGTACCGACTTGTTATCTCAGAGATCAGCTTCCATTCTAGGAATTATACACCTGTTCCCTTTTCCAGGCCCAGCAACCAGCACAATCAGCACGCTAGTATGGGTTGGACAGGCACACATGGTAGGGAAACCATTTCATCCTGACGCAAATTGTTTGGACTCAGCCTCCAAACAATGAGTCATGATTGCGCGGGACGCTGAGGACAAGGCGAGGGAGGGGTACATAAATAAGAGCTTGTCAAGCATCAAAAAGCAATTAAGATTATCTGTAAGCAGTAGCTGCACAAAATCCACAATTGTCTCAGATTGGAAGACTAATCCTTGATCATTAATATGTATTATAATTAATTTAGTATTATGATGGATTGACAACGAAGAAAAATGGTTGAAATCGCGGAAACGAAATGCCCGGCAGTTGAGTACGTCTAGTAGCCACAGCCTTGTTGCTGTCTGTTGGAGATCAAAACAGAAGGGTCAACCCTCTCCAAGGTCTTATTGCCTATCAATTCCGCAATAGTCCGAGGACCTGAATAGAATTGCGTTCCAAGTCCCGGCTGACCAAACCACTGTAGCATCGGAGAGTCAGCATCTGTTTGGGTTGCAGATCTGTGTAGTGAGGGCTGGAGAAAGGTCGTTTTTTTAAACGGAAAGAAACAAATGAAGTTACTGAGATTTTATATAGGGAATAGTGATGTTCAAGGGCAAAATACACTTACAGGAGCAATAGGCCCAGCATTTAGTATCAGCTTTTGAGTAGTTCGATAGACATGATAGTCGTTTGGGAATCCTGGATCATCAGGTCGATTGTTCAGATTCGAAGGTGGTAGTGATCTTTGGGAATAGGGCGTATCGGCGGAAGATAGAAACATTCCTACGTGTGTTAGTTGACACCAAACCGTTACAAAAGTAGGCGGTACAAGACTAACCAGTCTCTTTTCCAAACCTGTCTAGATAGGTGTCTGGCGGCAGTTCTACAAACCCGCTGATGGGTTTCCCATTTATGTCGACTGAAAAGCCTTGGTCCCCTGGTGTTACATCCCCTGGGTATCTGAAACTCCCGTATGGAGGATTGAGTTGAGGATCCCACCAGATTTTGAGAAATTCTCCGGGTGTTAGTCCACCAAATCTATCATAAGATGATAGCTCGCTGGAGAGAGGAAGATATTTTGGAAGCGTTTTCGGTCCAAGTCTCCAGTCATAGCAGATATATTGAGCGGAGGCCGGCAGCGGACCTGGAGTTGTACCAGTGCAGTTACAGCCATATGATTTATCGGGCTGATCTGGATTTCCAGGCTCATCAAAGTGACGAGCTTTCACTGATGTGGACTGAGCTGGGTTAGCATCATTGGGCAGTCGCTAAGGCGTAGTTGACTCACATAAGGAGAGGCCTTGCTGAGAGCTACGACACCAGCAAGAAAAGCAAGTTGCAGCTTCATGATGTAGGACTTATAATGATGATTACCAACGCTACGGTGGATATATTTGAATCCCAAAGATGGTGGAGAATATGTGATAGAGGAACTGGGTGAAGTGGGTGAGAGGCTGCCATCGCTATTATTTATACTCGAAGAAGTATGCGTCCAATTGTAAGTTTTTTGCTATGTAAACATTGGATGTCAACAATAATTTTGTGGGTTAAATTAAATAATGATTCCTCATGAACCATTGGACAAGGGAGGAATTTGCATGCATAGCATAAGACAACGACTTTCAGCCACGTCCCATTACATAAGATAAATTCTTGGCCCATACTTGGCTTGCATGTAAATACTCACCGATGAAGATTTTCTTGCCGATACCCACTGAATTGGTATTTCAGTGCATTTATTCAGCCCATTTGAGACCTCAAAGGGCTCAAATGGCGGTAGCTGAAATTCGAACTATATGCTTTTTGGGTAAGACAAGAGGGGTTAATACAACAATCTAGGCGTTTTTGAGAAAAAATGTACAGGCACAACACCACGTATGAAAGATTATCGTCAGATGCTCGTATGGGTAGTACTATACCGTCGTGAGATTCTTTGTCGGCAGTATATTGTTCTTACAACATGGGGAGAACATAGACAGCTTATTACCCCGACTTTGAGGTCGGAAATTGTGACTATACAATTTTGAACAAATTCGGCTCAATAGTGATGAATTGAGTCTTTGGGGAAATTCGGCGTGAGAGAGTCAGCTTTCCGAGTTCAAAATTATATTGCTTCTGTTTTGACAGGATTGGAATGTTGTGGAGATTTCTCACTTGAACACGTGATTTTCTATCTCGTGACTCGGGTTTGACTTTGGGGTGTGGGGCACGCTAATGGCACCATGAACGACCTCACATCCAATCCAAATAATCTAGAAACATCATTACAGACGTTAATTGATCCTCTCCTGCCTTGATCTTCTCCATATATATCAATCCCAATAACAACATGATTGCGAGCTTTGAATTTGTTAGGGAACCTCCTCTGAAAGCCCGACAAAATACGGATGTCCGCCATCCTCTGATATGATCTCCGAGAGCCGTTTTCGGCAAGCATATAACGGCTCAATACCTAGGTAGCGTAGCTATCAGTGAAAGTCCATCAGTGGTTGCATAGACTGACAGGACATTTCCTAAATTTTTCGAAATTTTCAGCAAATATATTCTTCAATTATTTGATATCAGAATTTACATTCTGATTGTTCAATTTTTGATGAATAATTGTAACAGCTCCTCATATATATCATTTAAAATATCAAAAGATATTCACAAGTCCATTTCTGTAGTTTCCCAGCGGTACACCCACTGTTCGTTTTTCAAAGCTGACTATCTCCAAACAGAACTACAGTTGTGCTCCAAGATTACTTTGAGTTTGAGTTGAGATTATAAGACTACAAACCCCTCTCTTGTCGTTTGCAATGCTAGCTTGTCAGTTTACTTCCACGAATGTATTTTAGCAATCAGAGAAAAACACAAACCCAATGCGACCTATCCGTCAGATATGGTTTCATCTTTGATCCTTCGGCGACGGAGGCACAACCGTGATTTCATTCCGTTTGTTAATATCGCAAAATTGAACATGCAGCATGATGTTCAGCTTGTCACTTCGCAATAACAACCACAACGCCAACACTCTAGCTATCACAACAAGAGATCACGCACTTAACGGGATCGATAGGGAAGGGAAATACCATCCAATAGGAGAAAGAACTCATCATCACCACCGACAAGCGTCATTGTTACAGAAATTGATGTTAGGGTCAGACGGAATAAATCGACCTCAAATGAATCGGATGAAGCATTGCGGACTATAGATTGTTTATTTGGTGATACTCAGGAAATAGCATCGATTAAAATAGCAAATATCTTCAAAACTTTGTGTCTTTTGCATTTAATAGATTTTCGATTGAATAATCTAAAGCTCATTCCAAAACAGAAACCACTGTGGAGGCACACAAGCCATCCAATACATGTGATCGGCTTTATTATCTATGGTGACTAGTACTCTCCATACGAATTAGAAGCAAATGCTCTAATTTCTTTTTAGCTTATAGAATAAGCTTAAAATGATTTGCATTACATATTTGGATTTTTTCAATAAATTCTATTTACAAATAAGAAAATCAAAAATGTCATTTTTGAGGTTCTTGACATAAAAAGGTAACCCAAAACAGGGGCAGCCAGAAAATAGGATAGGCAACTTACCTACTAGTTGAGCGTCTGAAGCCGAACCTCAAGAAACGAGGGAGAGGTACTGGCACACTAAGAGGCCCAATCACCAAACTTCAAAGAATGGGATGGATTCTCCCAGCAACAGAACGACCGAGGCTTTTTCGGCCACACTACTCCCCAGAGTATCGCACCGATCCAACCAATGGTATTGCGAAAGAAGATGTAGCAAAAGCCTTTAAGAGCTGATGGAATCAACTTCTATCCGATAATTACACAGTCTTCTCGAATAGCTCTGAACAATACTTTGAGCATAATTATTATGTGGGATACAGCTATGCGACCTACCAAGGTAAGCAGAAAATTGAGAGCGGATACAAGCAAATTGGCAGTCGCTCTCACGCGTTCGATGCGGAGGCGATCGGCGCATGGCACGGGCTGGGGTATCTTCTGAACATCATCGAGCGATTTTTCAAAGGCTATATCTAGATATGCATTAATAGCACCTCAGTTATCTGGGGTATGCATAGTAAATCCCCCGACTCCTCTTGATGGGCCTACCACAAGTGTCATCAAGCGATGTGTTACTACAATATCGGGGTTAAATTGTCCCCTGGGTACCCCAAGATTGGGGGTAACAAAGCGGTAGACCGCTTAGCTAACCTAGGAATATCGAGATCGATGTATATAGGTCCTTCAACGCTAGGTTTCGACACGCAGAGACCACATGGTAGGCCACTGCGAGCAGCGTGATCTCCCCAGGCTACAAGATGTGGCGACCAGAGTACAAAACGATAGATCCGCCAACCCTCAAACTCCCGCGCGGGACGCTCCACAAGCTCTTGGCAATGCGAACCGGCCACGGTGATTTCGCAGTATCCCATCTTCTTTTTGACCACGGAAACAGTCACAATGAGTGCTCGTGCGGCAGTAACAAATCACTGCAAGACACGCATATTGCCAGTATATTCAAAGGTCGGACACAAGCAATATCCATACATCTGCAGGTTATGTCATCCATGTGTGACCTTCTTTCTTGGTACAATGTTTCCAGACGGTATAAATCTGAGAATGTATCTCAAGAGACTCTGTGAGAATCTTAGATTTAAGTGTAATAAGAAATGCTTGGCTGTGCACTGTAGATATATGGGATCTAAAGAACATCGCTACCTCATAAACAAATCAATGATACCGGAGAATATCATTGTGAATGGTGTAGTTACAGTATCCATAACAGATTGGGACGACTGTGAGTTCGTCCCCATATTCCCAGGAGTGGCTAGTGAATTGAAGCTTGCGGACAACTGTAATTTAGCGAAAACATGTTCTTAGGCGCGCCGCGGATAGTAGGTATTCTGTATCTAATGTCTTTATAATGTCCTACAACTACAGGCGCTCGTATCACAACACCATTGTTTTCCAAGGCATCCACGAAGTCTTGAATACGATCTTGTAAGGAAGATACAGTAACACCTTTTGAATATTGAGGTTTGCTCCTCACACGATTTTCAGTCTGACTAACGCCGTAAACCTCAATTTGTCTGACCATTTCTGTAGAGCTGTTCTCACAGCAGACTTCGACTCACTCGACGCGTGAGAAGCTATGATAGACTACACGGCAGCATCCGAGTTTGCACTTGCTTTGTCTGGTCTCTGAAATTGCTTCTAAATGCATACCTTTCCCTCGTGAATTGAAAATCCCACGTCCATTATACTCCCTCTAGGGTTCGGATTGTCACATGGTTTTGTTAACTCGATCTCATCGCTTGAAGATAACACTCTACATTCCCCTAACTTCAGCTCCATAGACTTCGTATCTTCTACTTATCCATATCAGTAAGAGATGTAGCCACGAGGCTATCTATGGGGTACACAACCGTGAGATAGTATTCTTCAGCGACAGACAACTTGGAAAAGAAATAGTGCTGACTTACAACAGATTGGAAGGAAAAAGAAATCACAAGCTTCCACATCTTGGTCTGTGTCCACTCTAAGCTACGGACACGGGGAGATAGAACCATATTCTGATCGCAGAGTACATCTATGAATAAAGGATTAGAATCCCGCATCATCTCAACATCTACTACTGGCCCCACAATAGACTTAAAGACGAAGCTACACGAGTGTCCATAGACTTACATACTAAGAAATAGATGAATAATCGCCTACAGTGAGACCAAACACAGCCACACCTTACCATTCACATTCTCTTTCCGTCCGGCTTGGTACTCGAAGCGTGCTGATCTTCTTGTACAGAGAAAACATCGTATGTGCGAGAATTTCCGTTGGATATGGAGCCTAATTTCACTCTGCTGATATAAGAAGATAGATCCCTGAATGCAAAATAATTGGAGTAAGGCAAGGCCAGCCTGTGAAGTGTGTCAGATTCCGCCGAGGCGCTTAAATCTTGCACGGGACTGTCTTCCTGATATCCCAGTACGACCACACCATAGGGCTCTCTGTGGTACTCAAGGTGAGAGTAGGTATCTCTCATCTCCACTTGTGCGCTCGAAATCTCCAGGGGCATTGCCTACACATTAAGAGCGAGCCGCGCACCCTTGCCGCCGAAGATACACTTGTCTTGTCAAGGTCCGGTGATGTATTTTCTGAACATCATTGAGTCGCAGTCTATAATATTCAGCACAAATGCTGTTTTCTTTGTACTTCTATATATACGTGTTCTATTAGGGATGGATGTATGAAGAGTGTACACAGCAGATTTTACTATTACACCTGCCTGCTGGATCTTTTTCTTTTATTTCTTTGTGCATTAAATATAGTTGTAATAAGTATCTGCTTCTTCAGAAACCAGCTATGGATAATGGACAGCTTCGTAAGCCATAACGCCAGGGCATATTCTAGTATAAGGCTGTACGGCTGGAACGAAAAGGAAGCAGAGGGGCTAAAAATTCACTTCGGAAAACCGTTCACTGCGATATCTTACTACAGAAATGATGCATTATCGTCAATCTGACCATGAGTGCAGGAGATTCAGGAATATATTTACTGTCAGCTCCAATAAAGCTTTTTTTGGTGACTTCCATGTAGTAGAAGTCTCCAATGGAAGATTTCCCACATGCCACTTCAGCTGTTCATTCCTTGTCTGTGCAACCACACCTCTGGCTGTCCAACTCATTATTAATCACTCAATTTTTCGAATATAATTTTAAAGATCACCATACATACTGTACATTGTGGTTCGCATTAATAGTAAGGGGTCTCCAGTGGTTCGCATTTCTGATAGAGAATAGTGAAGCAAAGGAATAAAAGACAAGGAGTATGGTCTTAGTCAGTATCGGTGACTGTTCTAGATCATCTGAAACCGTGTTACAAGTAATCATCAGGTTTTTAGAGAATGAGGCTCATCTCTGCTTATATCAGACTTATCCACGGGTAAATATTTATCGCCATGCATGGTTTGACGAGGGGTGAAATTTTAGATGGTCTAACACTAATGCATCTTCTTCCGAAAGTGGAAAAGACGACATTGGGCGTATTGCAAGGCATATTATTTGGCAGATTTGGGGTTTCTCGGTGGATAAATATTTTATTAAACTAATATTTCGTGATTCGTAACTTCATGACTCGTGATTCACATTAATTTTTCGTGACAATGAAACTTTATACCAAAAAATATATGCGAGTAAAAAGTTGAACGTTTAATACCGTAGGAATAGAAATCATTAATCCATGCGAATAATACTTTGAGGCGATTTCTTCATTCCCTGCTGAACATTAAAGTGGTGTCATGCATGGGGAATGAAACTGGAGCTTATCAGTAATATCCCAGAAGTATATTGAACGATATTTAGTGCTTACATTTCACCATGCTATCTTTGGTCAACTCGTTGAATTTGTCCCGTTCGTTACTTGATTTCCAGGAGTGTTTGGAGACGCGCCAATATAGACATTTTGATTTTGCACAAATACTACCATGACGGCGGAAAAGCTGTGCGATCATGTTAGTCTTTTAATTCTGATACTTTCAAAGTATCGGTAAACTTACGCGGCGGTCGCGGTAAATATCTCAACCCTCGATGTACTGGCATCAGTCAAAAACATAAGTCCCATCGCAAAGATTGCCGTAAATGCTGCGATAACTCCAAGTAGCTCTCTCGTAGATTCAAGACTTGAAAGTACTGCGATGGCGACGGTGGGTAACAGGCACGCAATGACCGTGGCCACAGCTGAGGTGAAACGTAACATGCGTGCTTCAGAGTAAACAGTAAGCCCTGTCCTATCTTTTGACTTTTGGTCTCCTTCTGCTGTGCTAAAGATAGATTTCCTGCGATAAAACCAAAAGCGGGAGCTTGTTGAACTTTCTATTTTTTCTGAAAATGCATGGCTCTTGTTCTCAGTAGTAGGCAGCCCGTTTCCCTCAGATGCAGTCTTCACCATCTTTTGCCGTACTGCTTGTTTTACGCTGTGCCAAAACGGTACAAACTCATTAGCAACCCACGTAGTTAGACCGTCAACCGTATGACCTTGCCGAGGTACAATAAGATCGAGATTGTCAGGCTTAGAAGCTGGTGGCCAAAAAATACTGCGCATAAGACCGATGAACTGCCATCTCAAAGCCTTTGCCTCGCCTATGTTCTCTGTATAATTACCCCATATACGTGCTGCATCCCCACTTATACAGTTTTTACCTACTCTCTTGAGCCATACCCTGAGAGTCTCTACATTGTATGGATCCGCCCTCGGTAGCGCTGTAATTTGGGAATATTGTAATAACGCATCGTCTGAGAAAAAGATGTTGTCAGCGATGGAAATCGTGCAAAGGTGAATTGAACGGCATACTATATTCTTTCAAAACGACTCTGATCTGCTTCATAATCTTCACTTGCTTAGATTTGCACTTGCTTTCTTCCATTCTAGCATGTATAAGATAGTAGTCCAAGTTCATAGCCATCATCGAAGCTTTCGTTATGCCCTCTTGCTCACCCTGGCGATGCTCATTATATTCTGCCTGGTGTAGCTTCTTGCGTAGGTTCTCCAACTCTGCTTGATAATAGAGCAGACTTTTGATGTTAAGGTCGCGGAAGGCTTTGAACGCCTCGAGATCTGGGTATTGCGCAATCAAGTTGGACACAAGTGGCCATCCTGGCAGGGGCTTATTCAAGTCTTTAGATGCGTCTTTTTCTTCATCCCATGGTCCTGATGTAAATGGCAGCGGAGATGTCGGGGTTCCAATTACGGTCTCGTCAGTTTGTGAAGCTGAAGTCGGACTCGCAGGCTCACTCGACTTTGGGGCTTGAATAGTAATGTTACGAGGTTTCTTGGCCATTGCGATGACTTCTCCTGGGTATGAATAAATAATTTTTTGAGGATATACTGATTCAATAATTGAATAATTAAGGTAGCGTATGTACAACAATAGACAGCAAAAATACCTAGCGAAAGGGCACCAGCTGTTTTATCTTACATTTACTGTGGTTGACCCCATCTACCTCTCTACAAATGAGAGTTATTCAAATTGATGGCTGAGTACAGCATTGCATGCTGAGTTGTGAGCTATCAAAAGTGGTTGTCTGGAATTGCATATGATTTGTGCCGGATAATGACAAATTTGACAGCTACTGCTGTAAGACAAAATAGGAAGCCCATAGGGAGAGAACACACTCTTGACTTAGCAAGCCCTATTATCTCATGAAATTCCACCTCTAGATCGTAACATGCTTGTATCGGGCGCAATCGAAAATTTGACCAACACACAATCACAACAATTTTAGGAATCTACTTGAGAAGAGCCAGTCGAAACTTTGCGAGGAAATTTCAATGTCGTGTTGCGAGCAAATATGATTACGGCTGTGCAAAGACTACGACTTGAATTCATGCACTACAAGGCTGAAATTGCAGGCCATTAGCATCGGCAAATTGGACTTCGAAGTCGAACGCGTTGCACGTACTAGAAGCAAAAGAATGAATAGATAGATTCTTTTCCATTCTCCAGTCGTTTAACGATAACTCGAAATATTTGAAACGTATTTGGCATAAGATCTTTGCGATAACTTCTGCCCAAAGGCCGAGTTTAAAACGTTTAATTGCTAATCGGTGAAGATACTTATCTCGGGTGAAAGCGACATGCGTTGGCGTCCAATAGATGGAGCCGGATAAATTATCTTACATCCAGTACGCGTAACACAGCCTGACTGACAAACCAGAAACTTTGAGGCTCTTTCTAGAGGCAGCAATAAGATCTGGCTGCAGATTTGAAATTGAAAACGATGGAGTATTTGAAAACTCAACTTCCACTCGGGTCATTTGGGTTTTAATTTCTTTCTGAAATTTTGTGAATCAATTTTATTGCGACTCGAATTTTCGCGAAAAAATTTAACGAGCTCCAAAGTCTCTCAATACAGTTCTGAGTTTTGGTCTACGTGATACGATTGTATCTTGGCCTTCTGGTCATATTCTTATAATAATCGGTCGAACGTGGCAATGAATCCTTTCGGTAATTCCAGCCAGAGGCACAGGATGATTTGGATCTTTTCACTGCTTTCAGCATCCCATCAATTTTTTACTATCCCTCGAACCTTGTCTTCGTTGAAAATTCACCGCTTCGTTCGCTAATATCCCCAAATTATGCTAATAATCGACATGGATCATTGGTCGGTGGGCGGTAATTCGGGGGCCGGCGCCTGTCATCATCCATTGGGGTCTGATTTTATGTTTCAATCTGCCCTGTGGATTGCTCAGGCGAAGAGAATTGGTGGCTGTCTTTCGAAAGGCAGTCGAAAGGCAATTGATGAAGGATTTCCAATCGCACAAATCTCTCTTCTGACCGGATGAAATGCGGCTCCTCAGGATTGGAACTATGATATGAAAGCCTATAAGAGAGTAAATATATCATCCATTAAAGTTTCAGTCAATCAGAAAAAAAAGACACCCTTCCTTTGACAACAATCACCAACTACGAAAAATCAGGCAAGCGCCCGTGAGGCAGTGATCAGGAGTATGGCAGGTGGTACGCATCATGCGAAGTGATGTGTAAAGTTTTTCTGTTGCTGACTTTCACAGATTATTCTAAGAACGTCTCTTCCAACGGTTTCCTCTCCCTTCCCATCGAATCTAAAGCTTCAAATTCAAAGCATAGTCGATCTATTTCAGACGCCGGCTCCGGACAATCCACGAGGTCCAGCCTGTCCAGAATTACATATGTTGAGGAAGATGCACATATAGCAGTATCTCCAGACCCAGAGGATTCCGATAGCATCGTCCCAGCAAATTACACCTGCTTGGATCGTCTGGTCGTATTTATTCGCATCTTGTTCTGTCTTCCAATTCCGATGATGATGAAAAAGAAAAGATCTCCAAGGCCTATCGAGGCGGAATTATTCGATGTAAGTAAGGAATATGCCATCTCTATTGGAGGCTTGCTAAGGAAATATGGTAGAAGGAGAGCTCTCCATGGGTACTCCCCGTGTTTGTGCTATCAACGCGCAGGGATTCGGACAAACAGCCAGTACCAAAACGCGCGAAGTGTACCATCGATACCGGTAATATGCAAGGGAATATTGTGTCGAGGGATTTCGTCGAAAACGTCCTGGAGTATTCGGAAGCAAACTTTGTTCGTTTGACAGCAGAGGAAAGGGAGGGCGGCTTTGGTATAACAGGGGACAAACTTGTGAGTTTCGAATGATTCCCTTTGTTACAGTATTCCAAACAGGAAGTTGTCTGGATGATAGTCGACTAATTTGCTTTGTTCAAGGTGCCGGAAGGAGCCATTTATTTGACCTGGTATCATAGCAAAAGCACTCGGGTTTTCCATCGCATGAGATTTCTAATCTCGCCATATTCCCAATGTGACCTTATCATCGGAGCTCGATCCATACTCAAGGACAATCTGCTTGGTGTTCCCAACCTGCTGGCAACAGTCTCCACTAGGGTCGCAAACACAGAAGATCTCGAAACGGGTGAGCAGCTCTGGATACGAAGTTGATGTCGATGATGGCACGAAGCTAATCAACACAATTGCAGACAAAGAAGAGCAAGAGCTAGAAAAGGCTTTCCTTAAATGGAAGGACAGCTACGAAGAGAAAGAAGTCGAGCTAATAGAAGCGGGAGAGGATATAGATAACAACAAGGAATTGAAGAAGATCGGAGAAGCCCGTGATATCGCCAAGAAATTTCACCTAATCAGAGAGGCAGAACTGAAAAAGGAACAAAAGCTAGTAATTCAATTGAAAAAAGAGCTGGAGACGCTACCAGGCTATGAGAGTTATGTGGTCCTCTCTAAGTTACATACTACATCCACTGGTCTAGAACCAAAGAGTGGTGCAGGTGCAGTTCAACGTGCCGCCAAGAAAGCAGATGGAACATCTCCGTCTAAGGGATAAGTGTTTGCGGTATGTTGGGGATACCTTTTGAGAATTCGAAATGAATTAGAGAATTCAGGAACAGTCATTTGTTTGGTATGCTGGCACGAGACCCGAGAGGTTTTTGGAATGAATTTTCGCGCTTTTTTTATATTTGTATTTGAGAAACTCAAAGATATGGGATGGTAGTGTTTGTTATTTGGCGGGTGGTAAATTTCGGCTTGATTAGACTTTCATTGAGCAATCAGGGCAGAAATATCATTGGCTGGAGGATTGTGTTGTTTTATGAATCCATGAATTTAAAAATTTATAGTGTCTCTCTGCAGAATCCAATGAATACATGACGCACACAACACGTTGAACATGACTTGTTCCAACTGTGAGCGAATAAAGTCTGAAGTGTGTCACTTGGTCAGACATTGAATCTGCTCTCTTTCTGTACTCCAATCCATTTTGTCACATGGAGATGGAACTACCACATACCGTGATTGATATCGATGGAGAGTTCTGAGGCGGTGTAGCCGTGCTATGAAAATGAAAATGATTTGAATGAATGTCCACAACAGATGAGAACAACAAGGGCTCGCATCTCAGAGGCTCCTGCTCATATTCTTTAATTTGATCAATACATTAGGCGTGATCAATACGACCTACAGTTCAAAGGGTGTGGAGGAGACTTCAGTGCTATTCCACTCATAAAATATAGTTGCTAGCCATCACGTTGGAAGACAACACCACGTCCGTCAACTTCCCAACACTTGTCAGGATGGCCTGCATGATCTTTATAGGCAATTTAAAATCAAATCTCCATGGGAGTCGATAGGTAATGCGTTTTTATAGCAGAAAACCCATTTGGTGAGCTTAGTGGTACATTTCAACAGCAAGCACCGAGTAATTTTGCATTGGCGCGTAACCCCACTTTTTCAACACCCAAGCACCTAATTGTCAACGACTAAGATATTACTATGTACAAGATACAAGAAATCAACTAGTTGACTTATTTGAATCTGGTGATATAAAATAAGAAGGCAGGCTATCTTCACTAGCAACATGCGTCCAACACAATTTCTCATGCTTTGAGTATTGAAAAGTAGAATTATATTATTGGAAGCTTCCGCCAAAATGCTATAACATGGAAAACTCCGCTTTTACTCTTACACCCGATTTCATAACATATATCCAAAAGAAAAAGCATCTTTTTCAATATCATTTAATTGAAATTAGAAAATTGGAAAATACAATTCAATTAATATAACTCCAAATTCAAAAAATTCTATATTATAATATAAATCTCAATTAATAAAATCTACAAATAAAATTTAAATAAAATTAATCAAAAATTTATTGAATTAAAAATAATTGAATAAAATTATGATTTTTGAAATAGTTTTTAAATTTTTGAATTTTCGAAAATTGAAATTCATTCAATCATTTTCAATTCAATAAGCTTTTAATTAATTCTATTTAAATTTTATTTATAAATTTTATCAATTAAAATGTTAGAGTAGATAATAGTAATGAATCAACTAGGTGTAATGTAGCATAAAGACTTTTCATTAATTCTTCTAAATTATGAAAATTCTATAATTTATAATTATATGCAGATTGGTATTGGCCCGAAGTAGCCTTGTAAAGACTACTCATATATCCTTACTAATCTTTATACAGATTGATTGTAATAAAGTTTTTTATATTGTATATTGTATTTTGAGATATATATATTTATTTCCTAAACTTGATTGGTGTAATACAAAAGAATAGGGCACTGAGTGATTATATTTGAACTGTATTTCAAAAAAAAACAAAAATGTTATAAAACTATAAACAATCAATAAACAACATTTCAATATATTCATTACTTTTGTTAATAAATCATTAGAAATCCTATAAGTTCCTTCTAATTTTCCAAGTTCTTTTCTTTTTTAGTAAATCATTTTTTATTATCCTTTTATTTGTTTTTGTTTTATTATAACTACTTTTCAATTTATTGGTTTTTAGGTAATTGTGGTTCGGTTTGTAGTAGATCCTGTTAGGTTGATTATCTCTATATATTCTTATTATTTCAAGTATATTGTATTTTCTATTTAAAAAGATTTCTATTATTATAATAAGAATTCTTATATTAAATATAACTATTATTATATTTAAAAAAAGGTTTGTTAGTCAATACTTTCTCGATATATTTCTGATATTAATTTGTTATATCAAATCTAAGCTTTTTGGTAGGTTATTTTTGCTGATAATTAAGAGAAAGAGAATATTAAGATTATAATAATATATCGAAATAAGTATTATATTAAAAGTGTAAAGGCCTTTTTATAAAAAAAGAATAAACAAAGTAATATTAAAAAATCAGAATTATTTAAAATATTATTTTTGTTTATTATAAAGAAGTTGAATCGAATAAGTGATTTTATAAAGTATTTTGTAAATTCTTATCAAATTATTATTAATTATTTTTTGTTTCTTTATAATAATGTTTAGCTAATTTCTTGGATTTTAGAATAATTTGTTTATATTGAATGCTATTGTTTCGAGCTTTGTTATAAGATTGGTAGCTATAATAGATTTGGATGATAAGAGTGACTTTATGATTCTGATTGTTTATTTTTGTATTATTAATATTCTTACTCTATTTCCTGTTTTTTTAGGAGATAAGGTTTTAGGTGCTATGAATATACTAGCTGGTTTGGAGAACTGTAGATCCTTTTGTATTGATATTCAATTATTGTTTTGTTCTTATTCCTATATTCGTTTTTTTATATTTAAAAAGGATTGCTTTAAATATCCCAATAAATCCTTTTCTAATTTTAATAATAATAAAAAGAATAACCCTTTTCTCTATTAGATTATTGATACCCCTCAATGTTTTGATATTCCCTATATTTCTAAAAGTGATATTAGTATTACTATTCCTTAAGCGAAGAAGTATGTTACTGGAGATTTGATAGCTTTTATTTATCGATCTATTACTAGAATTTTAGTTATTCAAGCTTATAAAGCTTTCTATATAGCTTTGAAACAAAAGATAATATTAATTGCTATTGGTTTTCCCTTTGATTCTCGATATCGGAATACTGATATTTCGCTAAAAACTAAGGCTTCTTATATAAATTGTTTTGTTTATATTAGAAAGTTTAATACTATTATGAATTCTCTTAAAAGTATTCGATTTTGTAAATATCTATAGGTTATCAATAATCAATTGATAGAAGCTTGAATATTTAGCAAAGTTTTTGTAAAAAGAAAAAAAAAGAAAAATATAGATAAAAATAAAATGAATATATTTTCAACAAATAAGAATAAATGAAATAATAATAATATAAATAATACTATTTTTAGGGTTCTCTTTTTTATATCGAATCTTTTTGATATATAAAATAAAAGGATTAATTCTTGTTATAGAATTCTTTCAATATATTAATATAATAATATCTTTATAATAGTATTCTTATATTAATTAAAAATATATTTTTATTAGAAACAAGACTTTATAGAAAGAATAATAATAATCTCATTAATCAAATATCAATAAAAACTCAGATAATATCGATCTTGATACTTATAAATTGAAGTCTAAAGTATTTCAGAAATATTAGGATAAATTAATATACTTAATAATAGTATACAGTATATCAGCGAGTAAAGGGTTACACTTTTATTCTTATCAAAATAGAAAGAAATAAATAAAGAAACATTACAAACAACTTCATATTGCTAGTAGTTCGTTTATGGGTATATAGCGGAACCCTATTGTCCTGTAGCTTTTTTCCTTTTTTCTTTTAAGCTGTATATTAGTAATTTTCTTCTTTTATTATATTCTTCCAATACTTCTTTCACATTATCGAGATTGTAGGGGGCTTTCTACATATCTTCTACTAGTTAATAGTCTTTTTATTGAATTAAATATTGAATACTTTTGTCTTTTTTTTTATATACTATAATCTTTTCTACTTTATATTCCAAGTGATTATCTATTTTCTCTAATAATGATAGATCAGTAATACTCTATTATTTATACTATAATTCTAATAGGGAAATATAAAAGATATTGTAAATCTTATAGATAAATAATAGTTTGAGTTCATATACTTAACTACTAATTTTTATATCTATTACTTGAAAGAGGCCTATAAATCTATCCGAAAACTTCTTTTTGAATCAAAATTGCTTAATATTTCAAATACTTAGTATTATTTTGTTTCCGATATTATATCGCTAGATTACCGTACTATCTATATCCTTTGATTTTCAGTTTATAACTACTTACTACAGTTCTTTCAATTTCTCCCTTTCTTCATTAAAAGAAATAATTCGCTTATATACTACTAATACCCTTTCTGTAGTATTAATGTTTTTGCCGATATAGTAGAATATTGATAGGAATCTGTATATTATTTGGAATAGGCTTGTATTTATTATATTATACTATATAGTATTATAAATAAACTCTACAAATAATAATAATAAAAACCAATCATCCTATCAGTAATTAAAATAATAATTAATATAATAAATCAGATTTTGGTTTTGTTACTTTGTTTGCTTATCAATTTGAAAATAAAACACAATAAACAACTTACATTATATTTGCAAATAAAAAAGGAAACTATTCCAGAATTTATTTACAAACTATAGTTCTTTATTTAAGATAATACCTTTTAGTATCCCGAAATCTTTAAATATACTCTACATTAGCGTTTAAACAAGTTTCAATAAAGTAATTGTTTTATTAATAGATATATATCAAGTAAATTTTGTAAACCTATTAATAACTACTAAAACTATATTATATATATACTTACTTAATTTCGATAGAAATAGATTTATAATAAAATTTATAATTATCTTTTTCCAAAATCTATAGAGAATAGGGAAAAATTATAACTTGCTATAGGGTTTATATCTTTTGATAGTAGTCTGCTAATATACTATATATATTTTAATATGTGTTTTTATATCCTTTTTTATTAAAAGCTAGAAGTATTTAGATCTCAAGATTTCTAAAGTTTTAAAAACAC